ATATATATATATATAATTTATTTTTTTTATTTTATTTTTTTTTAAGAACTGTAATCAAATTGAATAATTGCCAGAACAAATATTTACATTCTTTCTCTAATAATTAAAACTCTCAAGATAGGCATTACATAGCCTAGATTTTCAAAAAAGCATTGAAAATTGTAGCACATCTTCAAAAAGACGTTTTAGGTACTACAGAATAAATAAAACATTCAGAATTCTCTGTTCTATTCTCTACAGGCACAGCTAAACGCACCCAAAATGCTCTCTGCTTCTGTAAACCAACGTGATTCTATGATCCCAAAGTTTGTGTAATTTCTCCTCCATTACATTTCTCCATCAGAGAACAGTCCATGATTTTACTAAACACAAAACAAGTCAACCTCGGGGACCCTGATAAACCCTGCTGCCTCAGCACTGGCTGCCCTTCAGAAGCCTGATTCTAAAATAGATGCCTGTGGAGGTGAAACAAAGCTATCAGGCAATGCAGACAAGCCTCAGTAGTCCTCTGCACAGACAGAGTTGCAACGCCACTACTGAGAACCCCGTAAATGCTGTGTATGTGTGTGAAAGCCATAATAAATCAAGCAGCCAAGCTTTTTATATATATATATATATATATATATATATATATATAAATATCAGAATGAATGCTGAAACATTATAATAGCAGTCACTGCTTTCAAGGAAAAAAAGTAGCAAAAGTCAGAAGCAGCAGTTTATTCTCTGTATTAATCTGCGTATTAATGTAATGATGTACACTGGAAAATAAAAAAGTACTAGCAAATTTCACAAATAATTACAAAAACTGAAAATAACACATTGATTTAAACATGACATTTTTAAGTAAAATGACTGAAATATTGTAAGATGGATTTCAATAAACTTTGTATTCACAGTTTTGAAAAACAATTTCATCACTCATTAATAGTTTTGTACATTAACAGCACAAAGTACACATAACAGTTGGCTTGCTGGAAGATTTTTGTTTTATTTAGAAGATTGTTAAATAAGTGCATCAGGAAAAAAATAGCTGCTTGGTTGGTTGGTTTGCCAACTTTTGCAAAGTTCATTACATTGTGGCTATTTCAACGAGTTTTGCAAAGACAAATGTCCAGGTTTGTGTGTCCTACAATTAAAACACCTTCCAAGCAGAACAAGCTAATATACACACACACACACACAGTAACAACATCATCATTCTGAGCTTTTACTAAAAACAATCAGGATTTACATCCTGAAAGCACCACTGGCGCCGCCCATGTTTCATCATCTTCTCCTACTCCTTGTCTCTCCCTCTCTTTCTTCCTCTCTGTCTCTCAATGAGCCTATGACAAATTCTGTCATGTTTAATCAGTGGCTAAACTCCCAGCGGCTGCTGTTTCTCCACTCACACTCCCGAGAGTTAATTAATTCAGTGAATCAGGTTTTTATTGTCTCCCCGACACCCTCATTTGTTTGCCTGATGCCACCTGCTTCCCCTTTTATTCCCTCTTTTTCATGAACATGCTCTGACTCTACTGGCTCTCTCTTCCGTTCATTTACCATACCAGCTCACCACACCCTTTCTGCTCACACAGACTCTGCATGCTCTTTCCCGATTTCTCTCCCCCCTCGCTTTCTCTCTGTCTCTCTCTCACTGTGTGTGTGGGTGTGGCAAAATGCAGCATTGGGTAATTGTAAAGAAACAGAGCCAGGTCGCCATGACAACCTGAAGATGAAAGGATAAGATAAGACACTAAGTGCCAAGATTGCATTGTAACATCATTATGGCGTGTGTTTGGACAGGAAGTGAGGGAGAGAGAGGAGTAAAGGGAACAAAAGACACATATGTTACTAACCTGATTATTACCTGGTCAGTGATTGTGACAATAAATCGTGGGTCATGTGCTCTAGCTCATAACTGTAGGACATAACTATGAATGGGTGATAGAGCAAAAAAAAAAGACATTATTCAATATTTTATGGTTTATTTTGCTCTAAACTCACTTCAGGGAGTCAGGAGAACCATATCCTTGACCAAACAGCTATTATTGCAAATTGTATTCAAATATTTGAAGGCTAAATACAATAAATATTCTGTGCTAAGATAATTGTGCAATGAAAATTCTTTTTTAAATGAAAATGTTCTAATGACATGGTCTTAATGGGCACCTATATATATATATATATATATATATATATCACTGCAATTTTATGTATTGTGAACAATAAATCTGTCTTGCAGCACAACTAATATTGAATTGAGTTTCTTCATACAAGTAGACCTCTTTGCACTAAGGCATATACTAAAATGTAAAGCAATTAGCTGAACTGTATCTCGGGAATGTGCTTATGAAATCAATTTAATGCTCTGTACAATCCAGAGTCAGTGCAGGACTGTAATGAAAACTTTGCTGCTGACACTCTTACTCATATTGCTGGTCAACAAATATCAAATGCACAACCTCTGCTCATATCAAACTATCACATACACACACATATAGACTCACTCTATAAACAGCATGACTGTGTTTGTAGTTGTTGCTACAGTGACACTTGTCCTCAGCAGAAATGGAGCACAGGGTGGGGCTTCGGTGTGATTGACAGTGATGATGTCAGAACTATAAGCTCAGCCTGCAAATCATGGGCTCCTGCAGCCAGAACGGAAAATTACCGGCCCCTCCCCCCACTACATGTCTCCTCTCTCCCTCTCTTCGTATTTTTCCCCTCTACCTTTTATCCCATCTCTCTTTCCTCAACACCCCCACTCTCCTCCCTTTCTCTATCCCTCTTTTTCTCTCCCATCCCCCTCTTGTTCTACCACACAGGCAACATGCATCCGCTTAGAAGGAAAATCTCAGTCAGTGCAGAGACAATAATAGAGCAAAATTCTGCTTTGTGTGTTTTCTGCTTAACACAACAAAACACAGCAAAGCACAAACCTGCAGGTGCACTGTAAAACAGCAGAGGAGATAACATTAAGACACACACACACATATATATATACAGTATATATATATATATATATATAACCACACAGTATGACCAGAAGTAGAAATCTAATATGTTGATTAGAGACCATCTAAATCATCCTCATGCATTTAACTGATGCAATCTATTAAAGTGTAAAGCAGAGACAAACACAACCAGATCGACCTAAAATAATAGGGATGATAGAGAGAAAGCATTCAACTGGCCATTAACAATATCAAACCATGCAATAAATGAAATACAGGTTTAATTTATGAATGACACAGCACTATATATAGGGATATAACACAGCCCTTCTCCAAATTACAGGCTTTAGAAATTATCTGTATTGCTCCCACCCTGCTGAGAGGCCTAAGCTGCAGGGAGAGAGAGAGAGAGTGTGTGGCTGGACTGCAGTTAAAATTCTAATCTACAGAACCCGGTTTACAAAGTGAATTTAAATGAAAACTCCATTAGGAAATAGCTTCTAAAAGGATTGAAAGGCAGACAGAGAGGTTGAAAAGGAGCACCACCAGTAATCAGTACTGCCTGCAGTAAGTAAAAAAAAGGGTGGCGGTATGTGTTCAGTAAGATAGCATTGGCAAATTCAGTAGTACCATCCTTTTTAGCTGTTTATGTGCCAGAGATCATTCAAGGGGAACACAGAAGCCGGGCATGGCCTCCTTAACCAACAGGCAACGACAAATCCACTCCACGTGACAGCCGTCTGACTTATGTTCAGACCTAGAAACAACCGTAGTCATTTCTGCATAATACAAGTGGCCAGAACTGGGGAGAAAAAAAATCAATAAAGAGAAAACAAAACAAACAAACAAACAAACAAAAAAACTTTCAATAAAATACAGCTGCAAATATGAGAAAAACCCTTGAAACAGATCTGTATAGTTTGGCCAAACATAAAATTTGGTATTGCATAGGCACCATAAAAAGTACTGCTCAATTCAGCACATTGTTGCTGGACAGATTCAAACTATGCTTAATCTTAGTGTGTTTCAGCACCCTGGAGAGTTCTCAGTCTCACGCGATCTAAAAAGGCCCATGATTCTGCAGAGGTGTCAGGAACTCAGTACAAGACTTGGAACTATGTAAAAGCACACATAGGAACTGAAGAGGAAAAAGGGATATTTTAACTGGACAAACAGAGGTTCCTAGAAAGGCTTACCTTTTCTTTTTTAGGAAGTGTTTGTGTTCTGGTAAAAGTGTCTCCTCCATTAATACTGATCAGTTCTGCATCTGCAGGCGGAAATGGCGCAGGGAAAACCACTACGTCACTCTTCAGTGTGTCCGAGCTAAAACACACGTCATACTGCTGAGCAGATTTGGAGTAAGACCAGCTCCCGTCAGGGTGTGTGGTGATCATCGGGGCGCTGTACCTGCCCAAACTCCTGTCTGTCCTGTGGCATTTTACAGCCATCAAACTGATGAGACTCAGTAAAAAGATGACGGACACGCACACAATGGCGATCAGCAAATACAGATTTAAATCCGAGAAACTCTCCTCCTTTATCGGCGCGTGTCTGAATGGAGTCTTGACGTCACCTGCGCTTTCAACAACCACAACATCAATAGACACAGTCGCTGACAGTGAGGGCTCTCCGTTATCACAAACCAAAATGACCAGCGGGTGAGTTTTCAGGTCATTGTCACTCATTCTCCTCTTAGTCCTGATCTCCCCGCTGCTGGTTCCGATTCGGAACAGATTGTTTCCTTTGGGTTCAGAGATGTGGTAAGACAGCAGCGCATTGTAACCAGAATCTGCATCTACAGCCCTGATCTTGGCCACAAAGTAGCCCGCATCAGCAGAATAGGGCATGTTCTCTGTGTTAACGGAACCGAGCTCGGAATAGGGCGCGAGAATCCCGGGACTGTTGTCATTCTCATCCAGGATAAAAACATTTACAGTCACGTTACTGCTGAGCGGAGGAACACCAGCGTCTGTGGCCTGAACTTTATACTCAAACGTTTTTGTCTCCTCATAGTTAAATGATTGTAAACTGTGTATATCCCCACTATCGGGGTTTATACTTACAACAGAATATGCATTTCCAGATTTATGAAGTGGTAATAATCCATAAGTAATTTTGGAATTTTCATCTAAATCTGGATCAACAGCTGAAATAGTGTAAATGATTTGGCCTTTAGGGCCATTTTCTTTTACAGATATATTTATGACAGGATTTGGGAAACGTGGCGGATTGTCATTAACATCAGATACATACACTGTAAAAACACGAGCGGCAGAAAGAGGTGGAGTCCCTTCATCTGACGCCATGATTGTGACATTATATCGATCAACACGCTCTCTATCCAATGGCCCATCCACTACAAGAGAATAATAATTCTTATATGACGACTGCAATTTAAAAGGAACATCACCTACCACTTTCCCATGCGTATTCCCATTCTTTCCCGAGTCTTTGTCCGATATGGTTATCAAAGCAACCGTTGTTTCTTTTTTAGCATCCTCCCTTACTGTGTTCACTTGTGACGTTAATGATATTTCTGGCTCGTTGTCGTTTATATCTAACACCTCTACTAATATTTTACAGTGAGCGGATCGCGGACTGGACCCTTTGTCTTTAGCCTGAGCATGAATCTCGTAAGCATTGTGTTGCTCAAAATCCACACTGCCCTGCACTGAAATCACGCCGGTAGAAGAATCAATTTTAAAAACGCCGTTTGTTTTGTCATCGCTGTCTTGGTGAACTAAAGAATACATAATTTCACTATTTACACCCTCATCTAAATCATGGGCACTCAGATTTATGACTAATGTTCCCACTGATGCGTTTTCAACAAGACGCACTTTGTAAAGAGCTTTGCCAAACACGGGTGCGTTGTCATTCACATCTTGCACATTTATGACTATCTGAATTGTACCTGATTTGGGAGGTCTTCCTCCATCTACAGCAGTCAATGTGAGCTGGATCACAGGCTGTTTTTCTCGATCTAAAGCTTTATGCAGCACTAACTCAGCCGACACACTCTGCTCTCCTCCGCTTTGTACATCCAGGGAGAAGTGCGCGTTCGGACTCAGTTTATAGCTCTTTATCGAGTTCGCTCCAACATCAGGATCCGATGCTCTCGGCAACTGAAATCGGTCTCCAACAAAGGCATTCTCTGATATGTTAAATTGGTTAGACCTAACACGAAACGATGGAGCATTGTCATTAATATCTAAAACATTTATCTCAATGCGAAACAGGTTTAACGGATTATTAACAATGGCTTCTAAATTCACTGAACATTGCGGTGCGGCAGGACAAAAGTTCTCCCTGTCGATCCTTTCGCTAACGAACAGAACACCAGTTTTCAAATTAACCTCAAAATATTTTCTTCCTAAAACTGCGGGGATATGAAATCCGCGTGATTCCAGTTCTTGAACATTCAAATTAAGATCCTTTGCGATATTTCCAACAAACGTCCCCGTGTTCACCTCTTCTGAAATGGAATATGCGATCTGGGCTGAAGCTATAGACAGCAAGCGCAGCACAACCAGACACACAACGGTCCCGCCAAGAAGAATTTTCCGAGCCATTACGCATCTATTTTGTAAACTCCATCAATCGCCGCAAAAAGAATATTAATAAAACAGGTTCCATACTTTGGTTATATTGCCCTATATGCCATTTTGTTTCAGTGCATACAGCCATAAAGACGAAACAGAACAAAGCGCATGAGCGCGCGCTCAAAGGCGACTGAGGAGGAGCCAACGTGGGCGCGCACAAAAGTTGCAAATCACTTCTATACTGACACCAAGTGGCTTAGAAGAAACAACTATAATGACAGTATCAGTTAATATATATATATTTTTTATTCTCAATATCTATACATTTTAGAAATATAAAAGCATTTGTTTAAATACATTTAAAAAATGCTTTATATGTTATATCTTACCTTTTCTTTATTAGGAAGTGTTTGTGTTCTGGTAAAAGTGTCTCCTCCATTAATACTGATCAGTTCTGCATCTGCAGGCGGAAATGGCGCAGGGAAAACCACTACGTCACTCTTCAGTGTGTCCGAGCTAAAACACACGTCATACTGCTGAGCAGATTTGGAGTAAGACCAGCTCCCGTCAGGGTGTGTGGTGATCATCGGGGCGCTGTACCTGCCCAAACTCCTGTCTGTCCTGTGGCATTTCACAGCTAGCAAACTGATGAGACTCAGTAAAAAGATGACGGACACGCACACAATGGCGATCAGCAAATACAGATTTAAATCCGAGAAACTCTCCTCCTTTATCGGCGCATGTCTGAATGTGGTCTTGACGTCACCTGCGCTTTCAACAACCACAACATCAATAGACACAGTCGCTGACAGTGAGGGCTCTCCGTTATCACAAACCAAAATGACCAGCGGGTGAGTTTTCAGGTCATTGTCACTCATTCTCCTCTTAGTCCTGATCTCCCCGCTGCTGGTTCCGATTCGGAACAGATTGTTTCCTTTGGGTTCAGAGATGTGGTAAGACAGCAGCGCATTGTAACCAGAATCTGCATCTACAGCCCTGATCTTGGCCACAAAGTAGCCCGCATCAGCAGAATAGGGCATGTTCTCTGTGTTAACGGAACCGAGCTCGGAATAGGGCGGGAGAATCCCGGGACTGTTGTCATTCTCATCCAGGATAAAAACATTGACAGTCACGTTACTGCTGAGCGGAGGAACACCAGAGTCTGTGGCCTGAACTTTAAACTCAAACGTTTTTGTCTCCTCATGGTTAAACGACTGTAAACTGTGTATATCTCCACTATCAGAGTTTATGTTGATCATGGATGTTACCGGGCCGCTTTTCGAGCTTTCTAGTAAAGAATATGTTATCCGGGCATTATCACCTACATCAGGATCAAAAGCAGATACTGTATGAATAACAGCTCCAATCTGACTGTTCTCTTTCACATAAACATTAATGATCGGCTCTGGAAAGCGCGGCGCGTTGTCATTCACATCAGAAACGTGTATAGTAATGACACTGGTGCTAGAGAGAGGCGGAGTCCCTTCATCAGTAGCTGTGATAGTCACGTTATACTCAGATGCGCGCTCTCTGTCTAAAGGCCCGTTAACAACTAAGGTATAATAATTCTTGTACGAGTTCTGAACTTTAAATGGAGCAGAGCCCTGAATGTTTAAGGTTACCTTTCCGTTTTTACCAGCATCATTATCAGCTACAGTTATCATTCCAACCATTGCGTCAATCGGAGCATCTTCTTTAACAGTGCTCACTAAAGACGTCACAGATATCTCCGGAATGTTGTCATTGACATCCAAGACCTCGACCAATACTTTACAGTGTGCTGCTTTCGGGTTATAACCTCGGTCTTTTGCTTGTACTCTGAGTTCGATTGCATCCCTCTGCTCGTAATCCACATCTTTTTTTACAGTAATTTCACCGGTTTCTGAGTTTATCGAAAATGAATCAACATTTTTGTCATTGTTGTGATTAACTATTGAATAAATTATTTCACCGTTCACACCCTCATCTAAATCAACTGCTTGAACAGATAGCACGTGAGTACCACGTGCTGCATTTTCAGTTACTTTGGATTTATACAAAGACTTACTGAAAACAGGAATATTATCATTAACATCCACAACGTTAACTATAATCTCTGTTGTACCAGATTTGGGAGGTTTTCCTCCGTCTACAGCAGTCAGTGTGAGCTGGATAAAAGACTGTTTCTCTCGATCTAAAGCTTTATGCAGCACTAACTCTGCGGACACACTCTGATCTCCACCGCCCTGTACATCCAGAGAAAAGTGTTCATTTGGACTCAGCTTGTAACTCTTTAGCGAATTACTGCCCACATCAGCGTCAAACGCGCTCTGTAATGGAAATCTCTCCCCTGGAATAGCTGATTCGCTGACATTCAAATTTGTTATTGATGTCCGAAATGCTGGTGCATTATCATTAATGTCAAAAACATGTATCTCAAATCGGTAAATATTCAAAGGGGAGCTAATCATGGCTTCTAAAGGCAGAGAGCATTTAATATTCTGCTCGCAAATCTCTTCTCGATCAATTCTCTCTCTGACATGGAGAATTCCAGTTTTAGTATTACAATCGAAATACCTCTTGTTCGGTCCCGGAACGATATGAAACCCTCGTACCTCAAGATCCTGAATATTCAGATTAAAATCCTTCACCAAATTCCCAACTGTATTGCCTGGGTTTGCTTCCTCCGACACTGAATACACCACCTGTCCGCCCGCTATATTCCAAAGCCAACACAGAAAGTACACAGAAATCCCAACGCGGAATCTTGATTGCCCTTTGGACGCCATTGTCTCTAAGCCTTGTGGATATGCCAAAGTGATAAAAATCCGATAGCATAGTCACTCAGGAAATATTCACAGGAAACCACACGCTACAGCAGCTTCCAGACACAATGGCGAATTCTGAACAAAGCCTCTCTGCTCTGGAAGCTTCAAAATGAGGCGGAGCTTAGTGGAGTCAAGAAAATTTTCCTGTAAAAATGGAAGGCTAGTGACATCGTGCGGACAACTGCAAACTACACTGTTTCTAAATAAAATATTTTGCTGTTTAATCTTTCGGTTATAAGAGCATAAAATTAAAATAAATTAGATAATTCCTAGAATGGAGTAAGTGTCCACATCAGACTGGCTATCTAATCATAACAGTGGCATTAAACGCACACACTTAACAAGGCTATTTAACTGGGAAATAAATTAATTAATTAAAAAATGAAAGTAAAATAAAATAAAAGTACAAGACACAGTAAGAAGACCTGAAACGGAAATATATTACTTATTTAAGGGCAGTGGTTTTCAAACGTTTTTGTAACCCGAACCCCTGTGGCCTAAATTATTTACTTGAAGAACCCCTCCTGAGATTTTAAGTAAATATTTAATAATGTAATGCCATATTTCCATGTTTACTTGAAAAATATTTTTTATCCGTTTAAAAGTTATATTTTTTTCAATCAGAATTATTTCACATAGCTATTGTTATTAGACATAAAATGGCATAACATTTCATTTCATGATTGTAGTAACCAAAATGATCACAGTTATCAATATTATCAGTGTATTGTTAAAATGTGCTGGAAATGTTCCAGAAGTACTCATACCCACACTGAAAATATGCTGAAAACCAAAAAAAAAAAAATATATATATATTGATTTGTTTACTTACAACATAACATGTTATATACCAACATGCACTACATGCTCAAAGTTTTGACTAAAAAAAGGTTTCATAAAATTATAAACCTCATATTTCATCCTTTACATCATTTTTTTTAAAGAAAATGAGGATTATGAGTTAAAATGATACATTATAGGCATTTTATCTGCTCCATAAACAATTCTACATAGGCTACTTTATTATTGAAGTGTTGAGATTTTAATAATGCACATTAGTTTGTTTTCCATCTTCCATTTAAGATTACCAACACAATTTTGGCCCAATTTTCACATTGGCCTGAACAAAAACAACAGACAGGCTGAATAAAATCGCAAATCCACTGTCTCACTCTGCTAATGGAACAGCAGAAACAGGGTTGTTTCCACGGTACAACCCGAACTCATGAAAGTGCGTATCAATAGCACGCGTTTATGTTTCGATTTGGCCTACTATTTATAAGCAGAATTTGACTTTGACTTGCACATGATACGCAATGGGTATGATTAGGGTTGTGGGGTAGATGCTTATCATTTGCACGCGAAAACTGCATATTATATGCACATCAAACACATGTGTATCACATGCCAGCCAAAGTCCATTTCTGCGTGTCAATAGCACGAATTTCTGTTTGTATTTGACGTACTATTTATATGCATTTTCATGAGACCACCTCTGTAAACAAAGCAGCGCTGTTCTCATAAAGACTACGTTATTACACATTTCAACCTTAAATTTTTTATTTAAAATTTTTTTTTTTATTATTTAGTTCTTATTTAATAAATTAATATAGCTTTTCATCAACTCACTAACGCCCTGAAAGAACAGATATGAACATTTGCGTTTTCAGCACCACGGACAGAGTGCGTTAGTGCAAAAGACGACAAAAATACACTTTGAACCTCCGTGAAACCAGAGTAGATTATTTTAGGGAGAAATAAGGTAATACGGATTCTTATTTCCCCTCAAACCTTACATTAAATCACTTGAATTCGCAATATACAGCACGAAAATGTCAAAGTAGAAACAGCAGCTCTAACTAAAGCGTTTTCCTCACGTATAATAAAAATGTCTTACCTTTTCTTTTTTAGGAAGTGTTTGTGTTCTGGTAAAAGTGTCTCCTCCATTAATACTGATCAGTTCTGCATCTGCAGGCGGAAATGGCGCAGGGAAAACCACTACGTCACTCTTCAGTGTGTCCGAGCTAAAACACACGTCATACTGCTGAGCAGATTTGGAGTAAGACCAGCTCCCGTCAGGGTGTGTGGTGATCATCGGGGCGCTGTACCTGCCCAAACTCCTGTACAGTTATCATTCCAACCATTGCGTCAATCGGAGCATCTTCTTTGACATTATTAACCAAAGATGTTACAGAGATTTTTGGAACATTATCGTTAATGTCAACAATTTCAAGTAGCACTTTACAAAGAGCAGCTCTAGGTTTATGCCCTTTATCTTTTGCCTGCACGCGGAGCTCCACAGCATTTTTTCTTTCGTAATCTACATCACCTTTTACTGTAATCTCGCCCGTTTCCGGAT